GAGCTCTCTCAATTCTGATTGTAGGACTACATTCCCTATCCTACCTAAGACATTGGTGTCAATGTGGACCATGAATTCTGGTTGTTCACCAGCCCCAGAAGAATGCCCTGTAGCCGTTGTGTGACATCCTTGACTCCGGCACCAGGGAGGCAGCTTACCATCCTAGCCATAGAAACACTTGTCTGAATAACCCCCTATTATGGTTTGTCCCCCTCCACTGACACCCTCATCCGCTTAGCCGAACTCGTCCTCACCCTCAACAACTTCTCTTTCAATTCCTCCCACTTCCTACAAACAAAGTGGGTGGCCATGGGTACCCGCATGGGCCCAAGCTATGCCTCTGCTTCAATTCCTCCCACTTCCTACAGACAAAGGGGGTAGCCATGGGTACCCGCATGGGACCAAGCTATGCCTGCCTCTTTGTAGGATACGTGGAACAATCCCTCTTCCGAAGCTACACTGGCCGTATCCCCTATCTCTTCCTCCGTTACATCGATGACTGTAACGGTGCCGCCTCGTGCTCCCACGAGGAGCTCGAACAGTTCATCCACTTCACTAACACCTTCCACCCCAACCTTGAGTTCACCTGGACCATCTCCGATACCTCTCTCTCCTTCCTGGACCTCTCTATTTCCATCTCTGGCAACCACCTGGAAACCGATATCCATTTCAAGCCTACCAACTCCCACAGCTACCGAGAGTACACCTCCTCTCACCCACCTTCTTGCAAAAAGGCCATCCCCTATTCCCAATTCCTTCACCTCCACTGCATCTGCTCCCAAGATGAGGCATTCCACTCCCGGACATCCTAGATGTCCTCGTTTTTCAAGGACCGCAACTTCCCCTCCACAGTGGTCGAAAATGCCCTCAACCATGTCTCTCGCATTTCCTGCAACTCATCTCTCACATCCCCTCCCCGCAATAACAACCAAAACAGAATCCCCCTCATCCTCACGTACCACCCCACCAACCTCTGGATCCAATGCATCATCCTCCGACACTTCCGCCATTTGCAATCCGACCCCACCACCAAAGACATTTTTTCCCTCCCCACCCTTATCTGCTTTCCGGAGGGACCACTTTCTCCGGGACTCCCTTGTCCGCTCCACACTCCCCTCCAGCCCCAGCACACCCGGCACTTTTCCCTGCAACCGCAGGAAGTGCTACACCTGCCCCTACACCTCCCCCCTCACCCCCATCCCAGGCCCCAAGAAGACTTTCCACATCAAGCAGATGTTCACCTGCACATCTGCTAATGTGGTATACTGCATCTGCTGTTCCCGTTGTGGCCTCCTCTACATCAGGGAAACCAAGCGGAGGCTTAGGGACTGCTTTGCAGCACACCTATGCTCAGTTTGCACTAAACAACTGCACCTCCCAGTCGCGA